CCAGAGCGGTCAGGGCGGGAGCCGGACAGCCCACAGGCCAGAACACAATGTTGGGACTTGCAAGGCCACCGCGGGGTCGCTAGGGTCAGGGCAGAAGGAACTGGAAATGTGCAGCCAAGGTCTGGGGGCAGTGACAGCTGAGGACGGATGCAGGAGGGACTCGCGGGCAGTGGCCATGTGCGGTGCACAGGCCACTCCAGTTGCGCTGCAGGGCCAGGACCCAGAGCCCAGAACTGTGACGCCCGGAGCAGGAAGGAGGCGAGTGCGCGGCCTGCCTGACCCCAGAGCGGCCGAGGAGGCGGATGGACTCAGGCCTTTGCCCAGGAATCCAGAGGAACACGGAGCAGAGAAGCCACAGGACAGACTGGCCTGGCCAGCCCTGGCTCCTCTAGCCTGAGCTCAGACTCTGCAGGACACCGCCCCCCGCCCCCCACTCGCCCTTCCTCACCCACCCTTCACCCGTCACCCTTCACCCACCCCTCACCCATTCCTCACCCACCCACTCACCCACCCACTCCCCTTTCACCCCCACACCCAGCACCTGCATGTAACCTGCTCCAGTGACCCACAGCACCCAATCCTGGCCCACCCTATAGGCGGGTCCATCCCATGTGTGCAGGGGTGGCCTCACGGTGTGAGCGAGCCCTGGGCCCACTGCACCAGGTGTGGCCACCTGCCTTCCAGAGGGCCAGAGCTTCAGGCAGGGGCGCCTGCAGGGATCTGTGCGCCCCTAAGGTTGAAGTCCTTGTCCCCGCTTAGCTCTGAGTCCACAGCGTTGGGGGCACGCGCTGTGTGAGGCTCGCCCCTTGCTCTGCGCCGGTCAGCCGGTCCATCCTTCCTTCTGTCCAGCCATCCCTGGCACGTTTCCTGCCCATAGTCCCTGTCTTCTGACTGGAACCCAAACTGTCAGGGCCGAGGCTTCCTTCTCTGCTGTCGGCCCCCGGTGTCAGCCTGTCACCAGCATCTCTCGAGTTGCGGCCCCGGGATGAGCTTCTGCTTTAGTTTGTTTCTGAGGCGCTTGGAGCAGAGATGGGAGCTGGCGAGTTCCCGCTGCTTTGAGTTGGTGCAGGTTTCTGTGACTGTTTGAAGGTTTTTGGAGTCACATTTAAATAGGTTGCTTTCTTCTTCTTTTTTTTTTCTTTTTGGGTCACACCCGGCGATGCTCAGGGATTACTCCTGGCTCATGCACTCAGGAATTACTCCTGGAGGTGCTCAGGGATCATATGGGATGCTGGGAATCGAACCCGGGTAGGCCATGTTGGCTGCGTACAAGGCGAACACACTACCCGCTGTGCTATCGCTCCAGGCCCTCTTTTTTTTTTTTTCGGCTTTTTGAGTCACACCTGGCGATGCACAGGGGTTACTCCGGGCTTTGCACTCAGTAATTACTCCTGGCAGTGCTCGGGGGACCATATGGGATGTTGGGAATCGAACCCGGGTGGGCAGCGTGCAAGGCAAACACCCTAGCCGCTGTGCTATTTCTCCAGCCCCGACATTATTATTATTTTTTTTTGCTTTTTGGGGTCACACCTGGCGATGCACAGGGGTTCCTCCTGGCTTTGCACTCAGTAATTACTCCTGGCAGTGCTCGGGGGACCATATGGGATGTTGGGAATCAAACCCGGGTCGGCCACATGCAAGGCAAACACCCTGCCCGCTGTGCTATAGCTCCAGTCCCCGGTTTTTTCTTCTTAATAATAAATAAGGAAATAAGGAAATAAATACCGAATGGGTACAGCAATTGTCCTGTCCTTGCCGCAGTTGTGGTTGCTGCTGCCTTTACTCCAGCCCGCCACCACCCCTGCTCGATTCCCGGGTTCTTCCCTTAGTGCAGTGGTTTACTGTCCATTTACTGGTATTTTCTTGGATTATTTTTACATCTGTACATGATATTTTCCTATTCTCATAAGACCTGAGCATTTGTGATAGACTTGAAAATAAATTTTTTGGGGGGCTGGGAGATAGAGCAACGGTTAGGGTGCATGCCTGGGTGCACCCGACCTGGTTGGATTCCCGGCACCACGTGGTCCCCCGAGCAGCGGTCATGCAGCCTCTCAGGCCTTCCTTACACAAAATGAATTTTGGCGTTTTCCCTATTTTTTCCGGTAGGTCACACCCAGCAATACTCAGGGGTTACTCCTGGCTCTGCACACAGGAATTACTCCTGGCAGTGCTCGGGGGACCATACGGGATGGCAGGGATCGAACCCAGGTCGGCGGCGTGCAAGGCAAACGCGCCCCCCCCCCCCCCACTATCCCTCAGGCGCCTGCGTTTTCCTTATTTTTACAGATAAGACTTCTACCAGCAGCAAGGGAGTTCTCATGCGTTTGATGGCTGAACAGAACCCATCTTTTAAAAGAGCAAAGTCCTTGCCTACCCTTTTATAAAGGGGAACGCTTAGGAATATTTCTGGTTGTCTGTCCCAGCAGGTCACCTGTCTCTCGGCTGTTACACGTCCCATGATAGGCCAGCTTTTCCGTGTGGAAGCCCGGGATTGGCCAGCTCTTGTGTGTGGAGGCCTGGGATTGGCCAGCTCTTGGGTGTGGAGGCCCGGGATTGGCCAGCTCTTGTGTGTGGAGGCCCGGGATTGGCCAGCTCTTGTGTGTGGAGGCCTGGGATTGGCCAGCTCTTGTGTGTGGAGGCCTGGGATTGGCCAGCTCTTGCGTGTGGAGGCCCGGGATTGGCCAGCTCTTGTGTGTGGAGGCCTGGGATTGGCCAGCTCTTGTGTGTGGAGGCCTGGGATTGGCCAGCTCTTGTGTGTGGAGGCCTGGGATTGGCCAGCTCTTGTGTGTGGAGGCCCGGGATTGGCCAGCTCTTGTGTGTGGAGGCCCGGGATTGGCCAGCTCTTGTGTGTGGAGGCCTGGGATTGGCCAGCTCTTGTGTGTGGAGGCCTGGGATTGGCCAGCTCTTGTGTGTGGAGGCCCGGGATTGGCCAGCTCTTGTGTGTGGAGGCCTGGGATTGGCCAGCTCTTGTGTGTGGAGGCCCGGGATTGGCCAGCTCTTGTGTGTGGAGGCCCGGGATTGGCCAGCTCTTGTGTGTGGAGGCCTGGGATTGGCCAGCTCTTGCGTGTGGAGGCCCGGGATTGGCCAGTGCCGCATGTGGCTGGCTGGGGGTGCTCACCGGCTGTGCTCTGGGCGTGCCTGGGTGGGCTTTATACTTCCGCCCAGCCTGAAGGCTGAATTGCCTGTGACATTAGCAGTGGCTGGCTGGACACCACAGGCACTGTGCAGTGACGGCAGAGGGGATCATGCACTTTCCAGCGACACCGCGCACAGTGGCCAGGCCCAGGAGAAGACCCCCGTGGGGCAACGGGAGGGTCCCGGCTCACACACCCGAGAAGCACTGGTTTTCCCGGCAAGGGCGGTCAGATGACGACGTGGCTCACTCTCTCCACTGTGCAGTGGACAGGAGGCTGGGTCGATACCTGTCCAGAGACCAGGGTGGCCGTTCTGTCCGCTTTTGAAATGTGCCCCCCCCCCCCCCAATGCCGGTCACAGCTTCTGCCTCAGAGACCCCGCTCAGTGCACGAGCTCCCTGCACGGGACATTCACACCCCAGCCCCGGAACGGGCCGGGGAAGTCATTAAGCATTTGCCGCAAGTGGGGTGGCCGCGGCCTCAGCGTTCTTAGGGAGCGCTCTGCAGACGCGGAGGAGAATAAACTCGCTCTCCAAGTGCAGACAGGGAGTCAGATCCGCGTTGTTGACTCGACCGTCAGCCGGCAGCCCGGGCTGTGTGCAGGAACGTGTCTGCCTGGGCGCTGTCCGCTCTTGGCCCCCAAAGGTGGGCGCCAAAGGTCTTAGCGGTGGGGTGGGGAGGGCGGGAGTGAGACTTTCGTTCTGTTTATTGAATGCATTTACCTACGGCCTGGCTTTAAAAATAAACACCTACCCCTTAGACAAGGAAGCAAAATGCCCTTTCAGCGCCGCACCAGAAATGGCCATGCGGAGTCAGCGTTTCTCGCAGGCGCGACACGAGGCTCCCCTGGCTCTGGGGACTGGACGGACGTGCCTGGGGCTTCAAGGGAGCGGGAAGAGGCATCAATCCTATTAATTAATGCACCAGCAGATTCCTCTCCGCGCAGGATGTCTTAATGAGGTGCCGGGGGCAGGCACTGTTTATCTTACAAACATCACCCCGGGTACCACTTGTCTGGGTAACCTAACAGATGTCCCCGCCGAGGGCACGGCGCAGGGGTGGGGGGCACTCCCTCCCCACCGCCCCCCTCCTCCAGTCTGCCTCCCTCCCCGTTCGCAGCACTGGTAGCCCCTGGCCTGCGAAGGGCTCACTACCCAGGTCTGAAAACCACGTCCTCGCCATTCCCCGGCCCCACGGGCACATCCCTAAGTGAGGTCGAGGGGGCCGGGACCCGGAGTTGGCCTATGCGGAACCCACTCTGGGGGTCCCGGGGTGCCCTAACGGCAGGGAGTCGGGGGGGGGGGGGCGAGCGGCAGCTGGGTTTGTTTCCTCCCGGGGTCTGCAAACTGCACCTCCCGCGGGGCCCCAGGAGCTGGCCGCGGTGCTGACCGCCAGGGTGCTGGCCGCCGCGCGCCCGCCTTGGGCCGCCGCCGCGCACGCGTCTCGGGAGGGGCGCGCACCCGCCGCCGGCGCCGCCACTGCGCAGCCTCGCGAGCCGCTGCCTCGGCCCGGTCCGCGCCGCGCCCGGCCCGAACCCGCCCGAACCCGGCCCGAACCCGGCCCGAACCCGACCCCCGCGCCCCGCGCCCAGACCCGGCCCCGGCCCCGGGCCCCGCGCCCCGCGCATCCCCCACATCCCGGTCCCTGCCCACGCCCCGCGCATCCCGCGTCCCGAGCATCCCGCGCCTCGGCCCCGGCCCGCGCCCCGGCCCCCGCGCCCGGGCCCGCGCCCCGCACATCCCGCGCCCCCCGCGCCCCCCGCACCCAGGCCCCGGCCCCGGCCCCGCGCCCCGGCCGCGCCATGGCGCCCCGCAGCCTGGCCTTCGCGCAGTGCGTGTGCTACTTCCTGGCCTTCCTCTTCAGCTTCATGGCCGTGGTGCCGCTGTCCGAGAACGGCCACGACTTCGGCGGCCGCTGCCTGCTCTTCGCCGACGGGCTGTGGCTCGCCAACCTGTCGGTGCGGGGCCACGAGCGCTTCACCGTGCAGGAGTGGGGCCCGCCCGCCGCCTGCCGCTTCGGCCTCTCCGCCGGGCTCCTCTCGCTGCTGCTGGCCGCCGCGCACGCCTGGCGCTCGCTCTTCGTCCTCTGCAAGGGCCACGAGGGGTAAGTGGGGCCCCCGCCCCCCCCAGCCGAGGGCCGTGGGGCCCGTCCCCCGGGGCTCAGACGCGCGGGCCGCGCCGAGGGTCGGGGCCACGGCCAGGCCCTGCCCCGCGTCCCCTCGCTCCGCGCCACCCGGGCGCCCCTTTCCGTCAGCACCACGGACAGACCCCGGCCCGGCCTGCGGCGCTCCGGGTGGCGGCGACAGGGTCCAGGCCCGGGCCCTCTTTGTCCTGGACAGCCGTGGCCGAGGCCCAGCTCGGCCCAGACCTCAGCTGTGGCCTGCGCATCGCCCAGCCTCTGTTCCCGGCCTGGCACTGTCCCGGGAGCCGCTGCAGGCTGGCTGGGCTGCGGCACGGGGTCCTTAAGCCGCCTCCCCTAGGAGAACCTTGGGTCCCTGCACCCCGGGATGTTAGGCCTCATGCCACGCTGGAGATCCTGGAACTCCTACTGGAGTGCCAGTCACATGCCACCCCCCCAGCCCGGGACTGTCTCCACCTCACCTACCATCATTCGGTGGCACTTTCAGTGACTTTCATGTCTCTGGGGGAGTAGGTGCCGACGGGGACTCCCGAGCCAGGTGTCCCATGGAAAGAGGTGGTGAGAGGTGTTAATACGGTCTCCTCAGGGGCTGGAGCGATAGCACAGCGGGGAGGGCGTTTTCCTTGTGCGCGGCCGACCCGGGTTCGAATCCCAGCATCCCATATGGTCCCCCGAGCACCGCCAGGAGTCATTCCTGAGTGCAGAGCCAGGAGATCACACCCCTGTGCATCGCCGGGTGTGATCCCCACCTTGTCCAGCCTGGTCCTGCCTCTCCCTGCATGTCAGGGCTGCCGGGCCCAGGCTGACCTCTAGGGCTTGGTCTGAAGCTCTTTCCAGCCCATATGGCTTTCCTGGCCCTGGGGGGGGGTGTGTCCCGGGGTCAGAACCTTGTCATGAAGCCCCTGACTGCGGGACCCCAGCACCACGCCTACAGCAGACAGGTCTCTGGATGTGTCACACCAGACTGTATGGTGTGGGGGTAACAAGCCGAGGTAGATCCTGCCCTGCTGCCCGCCTCATCCTCCTTCCTGCAGCCCACAGGGCACTGGGGTTGGGTGTGGGCACCAGCGGAGCCTGTGCAGGAACAGGTAGGAGAAGTGTTCTGGGGAGAAGGGAGGGGCAGTGTCAGACGGAGGGGAGGGGCCGGGCCTGGGAGAGGCAAGGGGCAGGGTCTGCAGGGGGAGGGGAGGGCAGGGTCTGCAAGGGTGGTTTGGGGGTGGAGAGTATCCTGGCGTCCAGGCTCCCAGGCAGCGAGGCAGCATGTTCCTGGGCCTCAGGCGCGAGGCCGAGCCCAGAGCGTGCAGAAGGACCCAGGTGTGTGGGGACTCCCCCAGGAGGTGCCACAGCACGGGAGGGGAGACAGCAGGCGGGTTGAGATGCCCCCCCCAGACCACTGCCATCCTGCCCGCACCGAGGCGAGGCGGGCGCGGGCTCGGGGGACTGTCCGGCGGCGGTCCCCGTGCGTGCGTGTCCGGGGCGCTTGCGGCTTGTCAGGGAGCCCAGGGAGGAGCCATCTGCCCGCACTCGCCGCCGCATCGCCATGGAGACGGCACGGCCCTGCGAGGGTGCGGGGGCGCCCGAGCTAATTAATTCTGCAGCCCCCAGAGCTGGCTGGAGAGAGGGAGGAGAAGGGAGGGCCCGTCCTTGCCCAGGACACCGCTGAGACCGGCCGGGCACTGAGCACTGCGGCCCCCCCAGCCCCCGCCCACCCCGTCCTCTCCTGGCTGGCTCCGGGCGGCACCTGGGGGCGGGCGGGGGGCAGCCCGTTTGCCCCCATCCGACCCGCTGCGCTGTCCCACCCGTGCCCCTGCGCGCCCAGGCCGGGGCGCAGAAAGCAGGGCGCTCCTGAAGCCCATCCTGAACACACCTGGGAGGTGACACCCCGTACTCCTGGAGGTGGGGGCCATAGCATGACCCATTGAGCTCGAGGGGTCAGCCGGCCCACGAGGATCCTAACTGGACACAGGGGGCTCATGGGAAGCCCCACGGTGGTGGGGGGCTGTGAAGGGGAGAGTTCGTGGGAGAGCTGATGTGTTGGGGATCAGGGACTTTGGGGGGCCTGGACAGCCTTGGAGGGGCATGAAGTGCCCGCCCCCCAGCAGGAACTGGGTCAGTGTCCTGGGCAGGGATGGGGTGTTAAAATGCTGGGGAGACAGCTCCTGACCACCAAACACGGGGTCACTAGTAAGGCATGTGGGTTGAAGGGATTGTGCACTGTGGTATTGGGGTGCAGGACTGTAGTGTGGGAGGAACTGTGTGTGGGCGGGGACTGTGTGGTGTGGGCGGGGACTGCGGTGTGGGCGGAGACTGTATGGGTGGGGACCATGGTGTGGGTGGGGACTTGGTGTGGGCGGGGACTTGTGGCATGGGCGGGGACTTATGATGTGGGCGGGGATTGTGTAGTGTGGGCGGGACTGTGTGGTGTGGGTGGGGACTGTGGGAGGGGACAGTGGTGTGGGCGGGGACTTGTGGGCGGGGACTGTAGTGTGGGTGGGGATTGTATGGTGTGGGCACCATGGGATAGTGACATGGATGCCCCACAGCACTGGGGCTTGGATGTGCGCGGGTCCCAGTTGCTGGGAATGGGGCAGCATTGTCTCCCCACCAGCCTCTCTTCTGGGGCCCAAATTGCAGCCACTGCTGGATCTGAAGGGCCTGGGCCTTGAAGGGGGCATGGGGGTGGGTTTGGACTGGGGTTGTGGGGTTGGGGCACTCCCTGTGTGGGTGGGTGGGGACTGTGGTGCGATGGGGGTCTTCCCGGGCTTGCTCAGTGCTCCCTTTACTCACACTGCAGCTCTGTCCTGGGCGCCTTGGTGAATCTGCTGGTCAGCGCCTTGGTGGTCTTCGTGGTATTCATCGCCAGTACCATCGTGAGCGTGGGCTTTACCATGTGGTGTGACGCCCTCATCGACAAGGACACTGTGACCCACAGGTGCGCCTGCGCCCACCCTGCTCCTTAGGGACCCCAAGGGCACCTGCTCACCCATGCTCCCCGTCTGTGCCCGGACCTCCATGCCACGCCCCGGGCAAGGAGCCACAGACGCTCTAAGAACACCTGGATTCCGGGGGAGGGCGTGGAGTGGGCACTCGGGAGGTCAGGTCAACCGCCCCTCGCCGCTGCCAGACACCCATCAGACTCCCAGAAGCTCCTATTCAGCGCTATGCAGGAGAGACGTGGCGTGCAGGGCGGTGACCCCCTCGGGATGGAGACCCTGGGACAGGAAGACGCAGTGTCTGACTTGGGGCTCTGACCCTGCAGCGCTGCCCTGGGGTCAGGCCAGTCTCCTCTCTCCCTCCCGGGGAGCGGGGATGGGTGGTCCGCAGTCACCTCCCACCCCTGTCTTACACCTCAGCTGCAAAGAGTTCCAGGACACGGACTTGGGGCTGAATGTGGACAACTCGACCTTCTATGACCAGTTTTCTGTTGCCCAGGTAGGCGGGGCTGCCGGGCCAGATGGGGCTTCCCAGTGGGCGGGAACGTCCTGGGCGGGGCTTCTCCAGTGGGTGGAGCCTCGTATGGGCGTGGTCTTCCAAATGGGCGTGGCTCCAGAGTGGGTGGAGCCTCTTATGGGCGTGGTCTTCCCCCCAATGGGCGGGGCCCGGGTGGAAGGGGCGGCCCTGCATGGTCTGTGACGGCTGGGCTGTGAACCAGGAGAGGTCTGAGTGCTGACCCTCCTTTCTCTCCAGCCGAGGGGGAGGGGAGACCGACTAGTAGTTCAAGGTGGTGCCAGGCCGCGCAGGGGGCGAGCTGAGACCCACGTTGTGGGAGCAGCTCCCTAGAGGAGGGCTCCGGAGGCGGGATCCTGGGCAAGGGACTTTGCAGGTGACCAGTGGGAGCAGAGTGGAAGTGAGGCGGCCCAGGGGAGGGGGCAGGGCCGGCATCCCTCACCCTGTCCTGTTCCCCCGCAGTTTGGCCTGTGGGCTGCGTGGCTGGCCTGGCTGGCCCTCACCGTGCTGGCGTTCCTGAGGGTGTACCGCAGCCACCGGGAGGAGGACCTGCTGGACAGCCTGGCCCACGAGAAGGAGCTGCTGCTGGGCCGTGCCACCGGGCGGCCATCCTTCCAGGGCGAGAAGAGCGCCGTGGTCTAGCCGGGGGCAGCCGCGTCTCGGGGCTGGGCTCCACCTCTGGGTGCCTGGTCTGTGCATGGTCCCGAGTGACCCCAGTGCCCACCATGGCCCCTCGACCCTGTCTGTGTGTCCCGAGTGCCGGAGGCTCTGGCGTGTTCTCTCACCTGGGCCGAGTGTCCCCTCCCTGACGAAGGGGCGGCCTGCCGCTGAGGGTGGCCACTGAGGGGACTGGAGGAGCCCAGCTCGCCCCAGTTGCTCACTGGCTGTGGGCCTGCCCACGCCTGCACGCGGCAGGGACGGGCGGGCTGTCGTTAGGGCCTCTTGGGTGGGGGAGCCTGTGTTGGATGGCTTGTATGCACCCCTCACTGGCTATGTCCAGGTTCCCAGGGGTACCCCCCCAAGGCCCCTAACCCTTCTCATGAGACCCGGCCCAGCCCTGCAAGGTTTGTCCCTCAGCCCCGAGAGCTGCTGGGAGCCCCAGGAAGGGCCGAGCATAGGGCCTGGCCCGGCTGGAGGCACCCCTGGGGTTCTGGTCTCAGGGGGCTCTGCTCTGGGCCCCGGCCTCCAGAGTTCCCATCTGTTGGGGGCCACTGTCCAAGTCTCCACTCCCAGGGGCCGCTCAGCCTGGGTCTGCCCATGAAGGGGTCCAGGGCTCTCCGGGGCGTTGCCCCCAGAGTCCAGCTCGGGGCGGGCCAGGTGCTGGTGCTCGCTGTGCCGGCCCCAGCATGTCACCGGCTCCCCCACCGCGGGGTCTGACCCCCTTGTAAGTCACATCTGCTGCCCCGAGCATGAGTCCTTGCCACGTGTGTGTCTTGAGCCACAATAAAAACCACACATGCGATCAGCTGCCTGCGTGCCCTTGGGGTGCCACCTCCTGGCAGCCTGTAGGATGCGTCTCAGACTTCGGGTCCTGGCAGAAACACATTCAGCTGTTCCCAGCAGTGGAGTCATGACCCGGCCCCTCCTTCCTGGCCCCTCTCACTGAGACTGGGGTGCCTGCTTCAGGCAGTCTCCTGGAGCAGGACGCAGGAAGCTCAGACACAGGGCCTGACCCGTCGGGCCCCAGTTTCCCCACAGAGAGCAAGTGGGCAAACAGTCTGCACAGGAGCAGCTTCTCTGCAAACAGGCCCCCCAACACCCCGTGTCCTAAAGCTGGAAACAGTCCCCCGGACCCCCGACATCCTGAGTCTTAGAGCTGGCAGACTCTGGAGATGGTGGCGGGGGGGTCACCTGGTGCCCAGCTGCCCCTCACTGTGCAGCTTTAACCCTGGGTGTCAGTGCTGGTGCTGGTGCTGGTGTCAGTGCCAGTGCTGGTGCTGACCAGGCCAGCCCAAGGCCTGGCTGCTCCCACTGGCCGCCGTTCCCATCACCGCCTCTTTCCTCTCCCATGACGTGGCCACCGTGCCGGAACCCTGCTGGGCAGGTGCCCCTCTTCCACAGGAGGCCCCAGGGAAGGGCTCAGGCACATGCCCAACCCCGCCACTAGGGGCCCTTCTGGGGGCTCCATGGAGGTGGGGCTCAGGCACCCTCCCTGCCCAGCCCCCCCACATCCACACACACACACACTCGTGTCACACATGGAGACAGCATCAATCCTCACATGCCCAATTCAAGCAAACAGTGCACACATGCAAATGCACACACATGCACACACAGTGTACACATGTATGCACATGCATGCGCATACGAACAGTGCACACATACATGCAAACATGCGTGCACATACACGAACACACGCACACGTGTACACAGTGCACCCATGCACACATGAATGCACACATGCATACAAGCACACGGACATATGCACACATGCATATACATACATCTGCATACACATATGCACACAGGCCACGTGGCTTCTCTGGGGATAGCCACCCATACCACCCACTGTGACTGGCCCAAGCTGAGTCTAGAAGTTTCAACTACAGCCCAGCAGGGCCTCGGGCCAGCACCCCAGGGCCACCCTGCACTGCACGGCAGCTTGGTTGAAGAAGGGGGACACGGTGAGCTGGTCTCCCAGAAGGGCACGAGCCGGACCCCAATCCTGGCCATGGCAGTGTAAGGGCAGGGGCGGGGGTAGCACCCACAACCAGGACCTTGAGCCCTGTACCCCAGCAGGGAGGGGCAGGATCCTGAGCCCTGGACCCCAGCCCCTCGGCTCCCCGCACCCCTACTGCTGCACCCCTAGCTCCCCACATTCTTTGGCTCTCCGCAGCCCTGCTCTACAGTGTGGGGTGGCGTCTGGAGTGGCCTCTGCCTTGACCCGGAAGCCGTGTGTGTGCCCCCAGGGCCCATGCTGTTTGTGGTGCAGGCTCCTGGATTAGCACCTGGGCCTTCCACTAGCCTGGCACATAAGCAAGTACATGCAGACACACGTATGCACATACATGCACCCATGTCCATGCACACACACGCATGCCCAGCTGAAGTAAAGACCCACGGCGGGAAGCAAGGGCCGCCGGGCGGAGTAGAGGAACGGGAGTCAGCCTGCAAGGAGACAGCCACTGAGCACTGAGCCCCGCCTTTGAGGCCCTGCCATCTCGTGGCCCTGGTTTTAGGAGCACAGCTGCTGCCCTCTGCAAAAAGCGCATACGCATACACGTATGCACACATGTACACGCACACACACACACGCACACGCACACTACACATGCTGAGAAATGCCGCTGCAGGCTAACGAAGCACTGAGGAAGGTGAGTTCTGTGGGGCCTGGGAGGCACCAGCCGGACTGGAACAGGGTGGATTCCACATGGTGCAGGGGGTCGGCACAGGGGGCACGCACTGTGCCCACAGGGTAAGACGGAGGGTAAATGTCAGCACTGAAGCTGACAGGAAATAATTCAGGGCAAAAGTTTCCTTTTCCTGTGGGGTTTTATTTAGAACTAAGGGGCGTCCCCAGCAGACACCACAGCCTGTGGGGGTGGGACTGAGAAGCCGACCCCTCAGCCGATGGCACCTGAGTAGCCATTATGGCACCCACATCCTCAAGGAGGTGGCCTCAGCGCATCCCACAGTGGAGGCCCAGAGGGTAGCCCCATGCCATGGGGTGCAGGTTCTGCCGGGTCCAGGGGTGGTGTGGCCCAGGGCCTCCTGGAAACAGATTCTTATTCCAGAGTCTGCGGGGCCCCAGGCATGTCTAGAACATTCCGGTGCTGTTTTCATGGCCAGATGGAACTCCCCGACAGTGTAGGCTGAGGCACTGACCTCACAGGACTGGGGCTGCTGACATCCAGGCCTTGGTGCTGGGCTGCCAGGTCCTGTTCTGTCCTCCTACCCCTATGGGCATGGAAAGGAGCGCCCCCACACCCCGCATCTCTGCCGGCTCCATCCTTTCTGCTCAGGTCTGGACAAATGGGCCTCTGGGCAGCTGGGGTTTGGGGAGGCTCCTTGGGAGCAGTGGGGGATGGGTCTGGGTACAACAGACCCCCTCCCCAGTACCCAGGGCTTCCTAAAAAGTCTTTCCCTTGAAGCACATGATGGGTGGGGCACACGGATCGCGCCCTAAAAGTCCTGTTGAAAACCCCCTTTCCTGCCCACTTCCAGCCCTCGCCTCCGTCAGAGGATGGGCCTCATCCTGGGTCCGCAGCTCTGCCCCGGCATGGACAGGGAGCGTGCCGGAGGGCGTGCGCGGGAGGGCGTTCGAGGGGTGGCCGAGCTCAGTGGAGTCCCTGTTGCTCCTGCAGCGACTGTGGGTGAGGGGGGAACGCCCTCCTGTCCACCACTGAGTGGACTGTTGGTAGTGTGGGAGCAGAGACCGCGACGGTCGAGCCTCCGGTCCCTTGGTGGAGCGGGTGTGGTCTCCCAGAAGGGGGCTGCACGGTGCGCTGTGGGAGGGTGTGGCAGGGCATGGTGGACGGGTGGTGTGGGCAGGACCACGCGGATGCTTGGTGGTGTGGGCGGGGCCGCGAAGTCTCCATGGGAGTGTGGGCGGGGCCTCAAGGGATGGTGTGGGTGGGTGGTGTGGGTGGGGTCACGAAGACTAGGGGGTGTGGATGGGGCCCGCGCGGTCTCAGTGGGAGAGTATAGGTAGGGTGTAGATAGTGTGTGCGGGGCCTCGAGACTGGGAGAGTGTGGGCAGGGCGTGGATAGTGTGGGCGGAGCCGTGCAGGTTCTAGAGGGTGTGGGCGGGGCCGTGCGGAATCTAGGAGGGTGTGGGCGGGGCCGTGCAGGACCTAGGGGGCATGGGGGGCGGCTTGGGCTCTAGGGGGTGTGGGCGGGGCCGTGCAGGACCTAGGGGGCGTGGGGGGCGGCTTGGGCTCTAGGGGGTGTGGGCGGGGCCGTGCAGACTCTAGGGGGTGTGGGCGGGACCGTGCAGGCTCTAGAAGGGTGTGGGCGGGGCTGTGCAGGCCCTGGGAGGGTGTGGGCGGGGCCGTGCAGGCTCTAGGAGGGTGTGGGCGGGGCCGTGCGGGCTCTAAGGGGGTGTGGGCGGGGCCGTGCGGGCTCTAGGGGGTGTGGGCGGGGCCGTGCGGGCTCTAGGGGGTGTGGGCGGGGCCGTGCAGACGCTAGGGGTTGTGGGCGGGGCCGTGGGGGCTCTAGAAGGGTGTGGGCGGGGCCGCGCGGGTTCTAGGGGGTGTGGGCGGGGCCGTGCAGGCTCTAGGAGGGCGTGGGCGGGGCATGGGTGGTGTGGGCGGAGCCGTCAGGATGTGGGCGGGGTTGCGCAGTCTGGGTGGGTGGTGTGGGCGGGGTGCCAGACTGAGAGAGTGTGGGCGGGGCGCGGGTGGTGTGCACTGGGCTCGGGTGGCATGGACGGGGCTGTGGGACTCCAAGGGTTGGTGCGGGCGGGCTGCCGGGTCCCGCAGGTGGGGCAGCTGCAGGCTGAGGAGGGGGCTGGCCGGGCTCTGGGGGTGCCGTGCCCCCGCTCCTGCCGAGGGCACCGTGGCTGGAACCCGCAGGCCCTGCACCCTGCGCCTGACCCAAAGGAGAGTCGGGAGACTCCGGGAGCAGACCCGGCCGGCGTGTCACCGGTGCCAGCCGGGACCGCATGTGCTCCTGTCACCGGCCGTGTCCGCACGTGACCCCAGAGCCGAGCTGGGGGAGATGCT